TGATTTATTTAAATCCGCAAGTGATTCTTCATACCTGCCCATCTTTTGATAAGTTAATCCACGACTATCTAAAGCATATGCATCGTTTGGTTCTATTTCTAATGATTTATTTAAATCCGAAAGTGATTCTTCATATCTGCCCATATACTGATAAGTCAATCCACGATTATTTAAGGTAGTTGCATGATTTGGTCTAATTTCTAATGATTTATTTAAATCCGCAAGTGATTCTTCATATTTACCCATTTCTTGATAAGTTAATCCACGATTATTTAAGGTATTTACATCGTTTGGTTCCATTTCTAGTGATTTATTTAAATCTGCAAGTGATTCTTCATATCTGCACATCTTTCGATAAGTTATTCCACTATTATTTAAGGTATTTGCATTATTTGTTCGAATTTCTAATGATTTATTTAAATCCGCAAGTGACTCTTGAAATGAAACATAATTATATGTAACTGAATCTTGTGTTATGAAGGAATTTTGTGGATTAGTTCTTTCTAAATCATTACTATTTATATTTTGATTATAATTAATAATCAACGCTTTTAAATTAGAAATAATAGTTTGAATTTCTGGGCGACTGTTAGGTTCGTTTTGTAAACAACCTATCATTGATCAATCATAAAAAATTTGTTACAAAAAAAAAACATCATATCTAATGAATTCATCGAAAAAAAACTATACCAATATAAATTCCAATATATTTTTCTCGACCAAGTGTAGTAGGATTAACAATATTTTCAGCAATTCGATTGTTGTTATGTATTTCTTGCATAAGAAGGCCAACAGAGTATACATCAGATTGTTTATGAAATCTGAGATTTTGATATTTAACGGTTTGTTCCTTTAATCTATTTGAAAGCCCATAGTCTGAAAGCTTTATATTTCTATGATGCATAAATATATTATCCGAATGCTATTGAAAACAATATCTCAATTAATAATTTAAAAAAAAATTTTACAAAAGTATAATAATTATATTCTAAACATTACCAACTCAACATTAGCTATCCTTTTAGTATGTAAATATCTAACAGCATTTGCAATTTGCAATGAAAATTTAATCTTATCATTCCATGAAAGGAGTTTTGAATTTTCATATAAATATGATTTCAAAGTTCCACCTTCAGCGAACTCAAAAATTAACATATAAGGTATAGTACTTGAATCTTCATAAATATATGATAGTTAACATAAAATTCACTTCATGAGTAAAAAAACCAAATATATTGATTAGTTTACCTTCTTTTTTAGTAACACCATAAAAACGTATAATATTTTGGTGTATATCCACTCTATGATATAACTTAAGCTATACATGAAAATTATAAATTTAATTAATTAATATTAATACAATTGTAGACATGATTTGATGTAAAGTATAAATTACTTCATTAATAACTTCATTAATAATTAAATCATTATTTTTGAATGCCTTTAATATAACGACTTTATTTTTAAAAGTAGCACGATACACAATTTTAAGTCTTCCATTTTTGATTAATTCAACGTTCCTAAAATGAGTATAACCATAACGATTAATGTTGTTCTCAATAATATATCTTCGAAGTCGTTGAAGCTGGTTGCTTGTCGAACTCATTAATAAGAATGAAATTACGTATTTTTTGGTCACACAAATTAAAGAATTGGTCTAAATGTTGAACGCCCATAATACTGGTGTAACGTAGTTTAAGAACTAGAGGAACACAAAATGTTAACACACATTAGGTACGTATTATATTTATATTTTATAGCTTAATTATTTAAGTCATATGTAAAGATTATATGAGTAGAAATCTATAAATTGATTCGTAAATTTCACCTTATTAACTTACTTGAAAGGATCTGATACTACGTAATTGCTCTAGTTATTTCAGTAACTGAGTTAATTATAATAGTTATTTACATTGAAAAGTACGATGATACAAATATTTGTTCCTATTAGCACTTACATAAAAATTATTGCATAGAAATTATTGGATTACATCTTCTATAGCTGCCTTAATCAATAATAGCAGAATCCTTGTATCATTTAATTTATTAAAGCTTTAATCCATGACTTTTAAACTTCGAGTAACGTCCAGGATTTAATGTCTAATGTTAAATTAGGAAACCCAATTTAATTCGATGTTTTACATTACATTCCTTTCTCAAAATAGGTAAATTTTAATAACTTTTTTCAGTCGGACGGACTTTTCTCGTCTTTTATGTTCTTTCATTTTCTTTCAGAAATCTTCGGACCCTTTACAACTCCCACCCCTTAATGGATGCTGCTCATTTCTCCGACAATCACTTAACTGACAGCTCATTTTACCAACAGTCAATTCACTGATAAGTTATTTCACCTACAGTTATTTCACCAACAAAGTAATTTTGGTCATTTTCATTAGAGTCAGATTAGAATTAGAGTTAAGGTTATTAAAAAATATTTGTCGGTAAAATAAACTTGTCAGTGGATTGATCGACAGATCCCTTTTTGCTTCCACCTGACACTATGCATTCCAGCCAAAATCATATGTATTTATCCCGAATTTTTTTTACTAAGAGGGTGAGGAGGGAAGGCTAAAGAGGGATAATGTAAACCACCGAATCAAATTAGTCTGGCCTTATATAATACAGTTAAATTATTCTAATTATTTATATCGAGTATAATATTTTTTGATTTATTAAACGCTAAAAGCGCTACATAAGATTTTATATTTATAGTTGTTAAGATGAAAACTGTTATCACAAGGAAAACTCCTTTTTTTATATTTACACTATTTTCACCTGAATTTTTACAATATATACCTGTGAAGGGATTGTATAATAGATGCTTCTTGAACATTTATGAATGTACAATTATGAAAACTTGTCGGGTCCCAATGAACACAGGCAGGTTTAAGTCAAACTTAGTAAATTGAATTATAAGGTCTGAGTTTCAAAATCATGTATAACTAATGAATTTTTTTCACAGTACTGTATTTGCAAGACCTTGAAAACTTTAACACATAAATAAAAGTTTTCATATTTAATGAAGGTTTTACATCGCCTATTATCCGAGTTGCTCTAAGATATTGAAAAGCGATTCATCAAGTGTATTGCGAGTATGGATGGTTCGGTCGCTTACAGTCGATTATTATCGGTTATCAGCTAATAACTAGTTATGACCAGTTATAACTGATCAATTAGTTAGCTATTGTATGCTATCTTAGTGTAACTAGTTACACACGGGTTTCTTTTAAGCTACGTAGCCGAAGGTATAGTTGGTGATAGAATTACTGAATTACGGCGTTACGGCATTCTACCACGTGGTACAATTAATTTTACCACAGTACCTGATTACTGTAAATATTATACGCCGTAATGCCGTAACTGTAAAGACCTAGCTACTACATCAACTTTGTCACAGCAAATGCACAATTTGATTGACTAACAATCGTGATCTATAAAATTTGGCCTGCATTACATAATTGTCTACATAATTTTTGGCCAGAATTAATTTTTTTACCTTTTTTATTCTAAAAATAGAAATGTTTAAAGAAACAGGCCACACAATGGTAAAACTAGCCCTGTACCATTTTTTTCTGATCAGTTTTGGTTTCATTGGACCAGTTAGTTTATCTGAGTTTAATTGTTAGTTCTTCTAAGAATACAATATATGAAAGTAGTATAAGTGTCTTGCTTTAATACTCCCTTCTCTCAGATAAATATACATCATATAAAGAATTGATCCGCATGAAATTGTGGTAGTCAATCATCCAGAATCAAACATACGTCTAGTTCCATATAAATTTGCAATTTTGTAAAATTTTAATATTATTATTAAAGATATGTAACAACTATAGATGCAAACATTTTAAGAACCATGGTTATGTCTAATTGACATGTAATCATGTTAAAAATTTTATAATAATGTAGATTGTAATAACTGACATTGTATAGCCTTAATTCATTAATTATTTAATATAAAAAGTTATAAAAATTTATAACAATAAAGATGGTTATGAATTTAATTTTCATAGCAATTAATTTTCAATTACTGCTTATTTAGACTAATGTTAAAAATAAATTTATTATCTTTAATAAGATTTAAGCCTAATAACTTATATATATATAGATAATTATATAGTACATTTTGTATATTTTACAGAATAGAATTAAGCATTTAAATCAAACAAAATAATAAATAATACTAATTAAACTTGTATTACTTAAAAAATATTTAAAGTCAAAAGTTTTTGTATTATAACTAAATAACTGAGGTTTGGTATAAAATTCTGAAGCTCACAATTCTAATGTATATAATCATAATAAACAAAATCTTCTCTAGAGCAAATTGTTAATTTAGTTTATAATATTAAAATAATTGCATCTGCAAACTGGAATGCTTTTAATGTTCTAATTAATCTTTATTTTTTGTACAATTATTATCTAATATTTCATGTTATTTTAATAATTTTTTATAAATATTAGATGTATTTAATCTATTTGCTAGTTGGATATAGTATTCAGAAGTTACATATTTGATACCAACTATAAGATGTATTATATTACTTGCATTTTATATATTTCTATAATCTTCAACCTCTTCGAACTAAAATAATCAACTATAATTTTAAAATGTTACTGTATAAAGAAATTAATCATCAGTTTATATTATATAATATATATATAAATAAATTTTTTATTAAAGTGTAAAATAGTTCAGACTACATATTATAAATACTAATAAAATACATTTTATTATGTTTTTGAGTTTGAATATATATAGGCTAGATGCTAAGAAAAAGAATCAAATTAACAATTTTTTAAAAGAAAATTTTTAATGCTTAATTAATTTAAAATAAGC